TCATCAGCAGAGAACCTGCAAAATCCCATCCTGCCTCAAGTGGTGGAGGCAGCAGAGGCCACGACAATGAGGCCACAAGACAGCGCAGAGGAGCAGTGGTGGGTCTCTGAGCAGGTGAGGCAGAACAGCAGAGTTTGGACTTCACTGCCTACAGAGGTAGAGGCCAAGGTTGAGCACCGGAGAGAGATTTGGCTGCTGGCTGAGGAGAAGTGCTATTGTGGAGCAATGACTTACTGTTTTATGATCCCCACTGTTAGCTTCTCTTACAAACCCCTATGATTGCATTAGTTGTGAATTCTGTGTGGTAATGGCAACAGATTATCAAACCCAGCTGAAAAGTGGCGCCATGGGAGGAACAGTTGGTGTCAAAATAGGATTAAAAAAAAGATAGCGCGTGGAGGCATGTCTGATGTCTACCTGTGGCACTTGGCTTTGGGCTGGTATGGCGATGGCTTCTCCTCTGTTGTGTGGCCAAAGGAGGTTAGATGTTTCCACTGAGGCTAGCAATGACAGAATGGAAGAATATGAACATTTTGGTGATTCTTAATGTAAACTGCAAGAAAGTTTTCCAAAAATTTTGTATACATTTTTTTACTTACAGTTCATTGGCACTTCATCCACATATGAAGCAATCCAATAGTTCAACAACATCAAAGAGAGTTGTACAATCATCACCACAATCAATTTCAGAACATTTTTGCTCCCGTCCCACCCCCATGGTTAAATCACTTTTAAAATGAGTTGTGTAATCACCATCAGTTCTAGAGTGTGCTCCCTCCCCCCTCCCACATACATCGTTTGCTCCCCCAACTTCCTCACCTTCCCTATCTCCCACCCCCAACCCTAGCTCCACTATAAACCCTTGCACCAGTTCTTACCTTGATGCCTCTACTCCTTCTGTGCTTTGCAAACTGGAAAACCCAACAGAAACAGTAACAAAGAAAAAAGGAAAGTGACAAGGATAAAATAATAATACAGAGATAAAATATAAATAGTGGGTTAGAAAAAAAAAGACCATCGTGAATATTTAAAAGGCCAGGGAAGGCATTTTGGTCCTGGAACAAGCAAGAAGTACTCATACCTAGAAGACTCTCGTGGGGATCTCCCAGCGGCTTAATCAGGCTAGATACTCTGCAGATGGGTTTTGGGCTCCCACTGTCCTCCATAGCCTTCTACACATTGGATGTTGTCAGTTTAGGCTCTGATACTTTTCCCTTTGTCATATTTGAGGGTGGTTATTGTCATCTCTGGAGCACACAAGCTGGTGTGCTTCTCCATGTGGACTAGGTTGACTCCTCACATAGATGGCTGCCGTTTTCTTAATATGGCTCTTCTATTCCTGTCTCTGTAACTTCCACTGAGTGGGTGGGGCTATGCAAATAGGATATGTGAAACACTAAGAGGGGATTGGTCAGCTTTTGTTGCCATTCCCCTGTGTACAAGAGAGCCATCCTGGAAGCAGAGAGAGAGTCATCAGCAGAGAACCTGCAAAATCCCATCCTGCCTGAAGTGGTGGAGGCAGCAGAGGCCACGACAATGAGGCCACAAGACAGCGCAGAGGAGCAGTGGTGGGTCTCTGGGCCTTTAAGACCCCAGACACTATTCTGGTTGATAGCCAGGTACCACATTTTGCTGTAGCAACCTTATCTTCAGTGATCATTTCATAAAGGTGAGTGTCGAGCAGGGCCACGTTATCAGAACTAACTGTTCTGAGATTGGGGCTAGAGTTCAGTGGGGGCCCATAATCATCTGCTTGTCCTTGGGATAGGACGACTCAGGTTTATTTTGACATTCATATTATGACAAATTCAAAGCCCCATGAGACCAACTACCCCCACAACAGCAACAACCCACTAACAGAAAACAAGAGACAAACAAACAAAAACAAGCAAACTAAAGGCAGGGAAATCAAAACCTCATCGAAACAGAGAAGTAAATCATTGTCAATCATCCTCCTGGGGCATGAGGGGATTGCACTTGTAACATCATCACTTTGTCCAATGACACATCACTCTGGACGAAATTTTGTATACATTTTTACAAAATTTATGCCAATAAATTTTAGTTTATCTCTAGCTTCATGAAGTGGCATAATTTAAAAATCAATTTGCTGATTTGATGAGAATAAAAGAGGGAATGATATCTTGTTGATCTAATAAACATTTCTTTTATTTCAGGGCTTCTGAAATCTGTTTGCCATTTGAATCTCAAGGTTTGTGAATTATTCATTTATATATTGAAATATTAATGTTTTTCTTATGATCTGTGAGAATTTTATCTTATTTTCAGATATACTTTCCCTAATTTCTTACACTTTAATTTTTTAAAACTTGCAAAAAGCAAGACTCAGGAATTAGTGGAATACTAACTGAGATGTTTCAACAAATACATGCAATGTTGGAAACACTCACTCATCTAGACCAAGAAATTTGGAAGATTGTTACCTGGTCAACTGGCCAGAAGAGACCCATATTTCTGTCCATTCCAAAACAAGGTGATCCAACAGAATGTAGACATTATCAATATTATTAAACTCACATGCAAATAAAATTTTACTGAAGATATTTCAAAAATGCTTGCAGCAGTACATGGACAGGAGACCTCCAGAACGTCAACAGATGTACAGCCTTGTAAGCCTACGGGGTTGCTCTGAGCCAGAATTGACTTGATGGCAGTGTGTTTTGTAGGAAACCCCACTCTGTTTTATAAAATCACTACGAGTTGAAATGGACCAAATGGCAGTGGGTTTGTTTTCCTCTCATTGTTACTTCATTGCAAAAACAGTTATTGATATAGGTTCAGAATTACTAACCACACTATTGCAGCTAAAACAACAGAAAAATGACAAAACCAGCTACTATATAAACACAGCTGGAAAGAAAAACAGTAACTTGTGGATAATGCTACGTAATTGGAGGTATCATTGTATCTGGGTAATAATGACAGCTCTGACCTGAACGCATCAGCTTAAAAAATTAATTGGACTAGGGTTTTAACCTTGTAGGTATATTGATGCCTGTCAGACTTATGAGAAATGTTGTTGTTTTTGTCATTATAACTACCCACAGGATATCTTTTTATAGAAAATAATGCAGCTTTGCTGAAGTACTGCACAGAAATTTTGTAGTCATATTAGTGTCACCCCCTCTGGCAGTGTCACCTGGTTTGGTTCAGTCTACACACACACACACACACACACACACACACAGTTAGGTATGTCAGTGACTGGTTCAGCACTTGATGCTCATTCTGAGAGGCACTTCAGGGCAGCACTGATGGCTTTTGTTTCGGGGGCCCTAGGTTTGAATCTCTGCTGTCACTTGTTCTCTGTGGGACATTCGGCAACGATGCAGCTATAGAATCTGCCTGTCTTTTTGCAAAATCGGGACAATTGCTCATGAGGGTGGACTGAACAAGATCATGGCACCTGGTGTGAGTGGTGAGGGGAAGAGCCAGTAAGAGAAACCAGAGACAGGACAGGAAGATTGTCCAAGCAGGGGGAAGAGGGACCTAGTTATGTGGACATTATCCTGGCTGAACCTATTTTTCAAGATCTCTGTTTGCCCATTTGCACGAGGGACTCAGCATCTGGCCTGCAAGAGTCTGTCTTGTTCTGGCATCTGGGGATTGAAGTCCTTCCCAGGAAGCCTCCAGAGAAACCTTCTCCCAAGGAAGGGCTGTGTGCTGGTACCACCCTGGTTTCTACGCCAGACATAGGAAGGCCTCCTCCGCAGGGCCCTGACTGCTGAACTCAGCCCACATTTCTGAGAAAGTTTCTAGGGCCAGGTCTGTGCCTACATGAATCAGCCATGCCCTGGACTTCTAGGGCAACAAAGCACTTCACAGCAGATGAAGTACTTCCCAAATTACTTCACAGGATATCAGCAGACTCAGTGCAGTTATTAATTTAGAATTTCAAGATGGGTTTGTCGGCAGTGCTGGTTAACAATCATCTCATCCTGACGATAACTAATGATCATCGGCCCCTTTGCTTCTTGACTGATGTCTAATGGCAAAGTTCGTGCGATGTGGCCTTAGAGACTTGATTTCAGGCCTCTCAGTGTCTCATGTGTGAAGTGAGGATAGTAATCGTACCTGCTTTACAGGGCTTGTTGTGTGGACGTAGGAGGCAAAGCTTGTCAAGACACACGTTATTATCAGTAATGCTAAACAAAACTCGACCAAACCAAACGAGTGGATTTTGGTTCAGAGCGACCCTTTAGAGGCTGCAAATCTTTAAGGGAGCAGACAGCTTCAACCTTCTCCTGCAGAGCCGCTGGTGGGTTTGAACTGCAGCAGCCCAGGGCCCAGCCGCAGCGCCACCTCGCTGGGGTTGTTCTTTTAATGATATGAACCAGCTGGGAGACCGTGCGTCTCTGGCAGAGATGTTAAGATAGCCCAGGGGTGCCCAAGGAACCCAAGAGGCGACCTGTGAGTACACACGTAGCCGGCAGGGACCCGGGCCAGCCGGGCAGGAGCTGGCCGTGGGAAGCGCCCTCCGGGTCCGGAAGCCCGACTGCCGGGTTCAAACCCCTCTCAGCTCGGCCTCTCGGAATTTTGAAAGCCCACCCTACTCTTCATCTGCTTCCTCCCTGGGCTGCGGGCAGCGATCCGCTGGCACCGGGTGGGCGGATCGAGGCTCCAGGCCTCCCGCGGCGCTAGACCCAGCACCCCCGCGGGAG